TCAGGCACCTCAGTTGTAAAACAATGGTCCTTCATGTCTCTGAGGGAGACTGTGAAGATGTAGTTATGCATTGGCAATGGGAAAGTCTTTAACCAAGATAAAGCCTTTTAATTAGTCAAGGTTTTATTTGGATTGGTCGTATAGTCCAGGCTGGTCTAGAATTTGAAACCCTACTGCTTCAGGACTCCCAGTCTCCAGGATTGCAGGAATGTGCTGTTATGCATCTTGTCAGCCTTTAAAATAAGAGTCATTTATCTTACTCTGCTGACTTGTAGTGCCCAGCCACTCTATGCTGGGTCGCAGTAATGATCTGTGTGTTAAGACAGGCCAGTCAGTGCTGGCTCAGTCCTCAATGGCTTTTGTGACCTGCAGAGTCCAGCAAGGGCGGTGAGGCTCGGTTACTGCCTCATAGCCCAGAACTCCCAGGCTGACAAATCAGGACTCTCGGAAGGAAGAGGTCCAGGCTCTCTGGAACCCTGGGCTGTTTCCACCCGCACCAACTGAGATGCTGGTAAAACAGAGAGGGAGTTCTGCAGAGTTCAGAAACAAGGTTGTAACAATGAGCTTGGTGTGTCCCGACAGCCAGAGCCTGCCCTCCTTTCGCAAATATTTGTTGAGGGGTGTGGAGGGTGAAGGCCACAATGCAGGATAGAAAAGAGGGGTTCCAGGGAGTGCATGTGAATGGTCGGATACCTGTGCACCTGACCGGATGTAGATGCCAGTCAGACCTGTCCTCTTGGTGCTCACCCTGTGCAAAGCTCTGTACTCTGAAGGGAAAGCAGAGGCTCGAGCAGCATAGCCACTCACTTAAGGTCGCAGGGTGACTTAGTTACTACTGTGACACAATACTTGACCAAAACTACTGTAGGAAGGAAAGGTATATTGTGGCTGTATGGATTTTACTTGTACAGGGATGCCTAGAGGCCCATTAAACTAGGGATTTTAGAATCTGTCAGGCTGGCACCACTAAGGATCACACACAGCTAGTAAGTGGGAATCAGAATCCAAGTCTAGGCACAACAGCTGCAGAGCCCACTTCAGCCACAGTGTACATGGTGAAAGTGATGTTCCCTACGATGCTGTCTGCTGCTCACGCTGCCATTACCAGGCTCTGCGTTTCCATTTTTATAGCAAAACACAGGTTTTAAACACTAGGTCTAATATAGTCAACCATGCATTTAGCATTTCAAATGAAATTATGGCAGTGGAAACATGTAGTCTCCTGAGCTGTAAAATGCTCTACAAATAAGATCAAATTATTATGTCTAATGTACGATAAGATGGTTTGCCCAAGGTCATGGGGACATCAAATGGTATTGCCAGGGTGTCAGCTCTGGTTGGTACCGCAGGGCAAATGACAGAACCAAGAAGCCTGTGCTGACCTTTATTGTCCCTTCCTGTTGCTCGGGCTTTTTTCTTCCTTTAAGCTCTTAATGAAGCTGAGAGTTACGCCATGGGTAGGGGTGAGGGTGGTGGTGGTGGTGGTCTCTCAGGATGGGGTTGTGGCGGTTGAGCTGGAGGCAGAGCTTCGGGGCAGGTGGGTGGAGAGAAGAGGCTGGACTACACGGGGAGTGGGCCAGTAAGGATTTTATAACCCTATAAAACCCAGGCAATGTGTTATAAAAACAAAAAAAAACAAAAAGCAGAGTTAAACCGGAATTCAGGGTTCATTCCTCCGGTGTATACATATACAGATGCAAATATTCTTAGTAAAGAAAACAGAGGTTTGTTGGTTTAAAAGATCCAAGGACTGAACCTGGACCTGTGGAAGGTGTGCGAGCACTGGGCTCCACAGCAGACGCGTGATACGAAGGGCTGCAAAGCAGACACAGTCTTTGCTGAGAATCATATAGCGCTTGTTGGCTTATTCATTCACTTTCAAAGGGATTCGCTTTCCAGATCAGAAGCTGCGCGGGGACTGTTCCGTGTGTTTGCTTTATTTATTCTTCACAACGTCCTTCTGTGTCTGGCACCATTGTGTGTGTTTTTCAGATGAAGAAATATACACTTTGAGACATGAAGTAACTTGGCTCCAGTTCCCCGGACAGTAGGAGATGCAGCGAGATAAAGATATATCTTAAAGCAAATCTGCCATTTCCTCAAGACACGCAGAAGAAAGCCTTTTCGTTTTCTCTGTTCTTAATCTCTCAGATCTTCCATTTAGGTCTTCTCTCTTCCTCTTTGAAATACATTTCAGAAACTTTCCTCTGACGAGGGCTGCGCTTGGCAGTTTTCGTTCTCGCTCCTGGCTAATGCCATTGTTTCTTTGTTCTGAGGGGGTACAGTCTTTACATGTTGGAGGTGTTTCACCCTGCTCTTCTGGAATGTTTGCTGCTGATGAGAAGCAAGCTACTCAAATGTGACCCACTGTAAAGTAACTAAACCTCCGTGCTCTTTTTTTTTTTTTTTTTTTTTGGTTTTTACGAGACAGGGTTTCTCTGTATTGTTTTGAAGGCTGTCAGTCCAGGCCAGCCTCGAACTCACAGAGATCCGCCTGCCTCTGCCTCCCGAGTGCTGGGATTAAAGGTGTGCGCCACCAACACCACTGCTCCGTGCTCTTTTTAAACCATCCTATTGGGAGTGTAGGGTGCTCAGTGGGTAAAGAGTGAGGATCCAGGTCAGCTCTCTAGGACTCTGTAGCAGTGCGAGCCAGTAATCGCAGCACGAGAGTGTGGGGGCAGGGAGAGCCAAAGGGATCCAGAGGCCTCCATGGTCAGTCGGTCTAGCCAATCAGAGAGCACAGGTCATTGAGACAGTCCTTGTCTCAAAAATGTTACCTGCTTTCCACTACTTAACAAGCTTTCTTTACTCTTAAGCAGTTCAGTATCCCTGGCCTAGAGAATGGTGCTTCCCACAATGCACTGGGTCTTCTTCTATCAGTTAACAATCAAAACACAGAGATGCCCATTCAGGCTGTCATCTAAGGTGACTTTAGGTTGACATTTAAAACTAACCATTGCAAGGACTGGAAGGATGGCTCAGCAGTTAAAAAGGGTAAATATTGTTCTTTCAGAGGACCTGAGATAGGTTCCCAGCAACCATGTAGATAGCTCAACACCTGTAACTCCAGCTCCAGGGGAATGTGACACTTCCGGTCTCTGTAGGCACTTGTATTCCTGTGCACATAACTATATACATACAAATAATTAACAACAATGGAAACACCTCACCATCACAGACAGGAAGTGGGGCTGCGGGGCAAAACCCTCAGGGTCCACACACAGTGACCGACTTCCTCCAGCCAGGTCCCACCTCCTAAAGTTTCCACAACCCCTTGAAAGAGTGTCACCCTCCGAGGACCAAGTGTTCCAACCCACGAGTCTATGGGAGGGGGCCATGCAAACCATAACAGACACGTGATTGGGGAGCATTTAAAATGCTCTCGATTAGTTGTTTTGAAATGCCAAGGCAGTTATTATCAGCTCTAATTGTCCTGCTGTGTTGGCATTCAAAGTAACAGTGTGGAAAACTGCAACATGACTGGAGGTATGAAGAAGAGAGTCACGTGTCACTCAGCTTTCCATTACTGTAACAGATATGCGTGCACGAGTGTACAAGTGCATGTGTGTGCATGAGTGTACAATGCCTGTATGTGCATGCGTGTATAAGTGCATGTGTGTATGAGTGTACAAGTGCATTTGTGTGCATGAGTGTACAAGTGCATATATGTGCATGAGTGTACAAGTGCATGTGTGTGCATGAGTGTACAATGCCTGTATGTGCATGAGTGTACAAGTGCATGTGTGTGCATGAGTGTACAAGTGCATGTGTGTGCATGAGTGTACAATGCCTGTATGTGCATGAGTGTACAATGCCTGTATGTGCATGAGTGTATAAGTGCATGTGTGTGCATGAGTGTACAAGTGCATGTGTGTGCATGAGTGTACAAGTGCATGTGTGTGCATGAGTGTACAAGTACATGTGTGTGCATGTGTGTGTATGTGGAGACCAGAGGGTGTGTGTGTGTGTGTGTGTGTGTATTTCACAATTACTTTATTCCCCTATCAGTGGACATGGAGGTTGTTTCCTGTCTTGGTTGTTGATTAAAGTGCTTCAAATTATCAAGAAAATGCAGAAATATATTTAAATCATTGGATTTTTAAAACATTTGTCTAAATATTTCTATTCTTTAATTTTGAATGATCTTCCTGCTATCTTCAAATCTTCATTTTTGAGTCCCTGGAATCCAGAGAGGAAAAATATAATATATCAGAAGAGGTATAAAACATAAATAATGGAAATTAAACACATTGTAGGGTGTACCATTATATGGACAGAAAAAACAAAAAACACAAAAAGTGGGCCTCAAAACTGGGAAAGGACTGAGGACCCTGAAAAGAAGGAAAGGAACAGAGATCGTGTGATATTGAAGTCTGGGGATGCCATAATCAGTATCACATGTTTGAGAGTCTGGAATGATCTTAATGTATACATTACTTAGGATAATCTTAGCTGCATGTTATCCCCCCAAAAAACCAACTCAATGAATTGAAATGATAGTAGTTACTACATAGACAGCAAGAAGTCTGAGGAAGGTGAATGGGAGTGTCGGTCTGGTCAGTGACTCAGTGATACCGTTAGGATTGTGGTTTCTTCCATTCTGCTCTCATGCTTCTGCCTCTTGGTCACAATGTGGCTGCAGGATTCCAGCTTAATGTATGAGATCACACCACCATCGGACGAAGGATGCCTGGGACTCCCGGGTAGCCTTCTTATGTCTCATGCTAGGAGAATAGGTCAGGGGCTCCCCAACCTTGTCGACAGCCAGGGCCTTGCTTGTTTTCGCGGGCTGAGGCTCTGGGGCAGGTGGTGAGGTTGCCACAGGACAGACTGAGAAAAGAGGAAGGAATGGCTGGAACTGCATAGGAAGCAGAACTGTCTCATCCAAAGCCTGCTCCAGGATGAATGTTCAGCTGCTCCAAGACCTGTTCTGCCCTGACAGTCAATGGTGAATTTCTCAAAGTCAAAGCAAGGATCTCTTCTGTCCATTCTACCCACAGGCCATGCACTGACCTCAGCTGTCCATCAGGAGGCTGGCACTGAGCCACCAGCTGCTTATCAAGGGCGGGACAGTGGTGACGTGCCACTCTTCCTATATGAGCCCAGCTTGGACCTCTGGTGGACGCTTGACACAGCCACATTTTCCCCAGGACAGTGTCTCTGGAGGACTCTGGGAGAAGCAGGGTTCTGGGCCCTGGGATTCAGAAGGAGCTCCGAAAGAGTCCAGGCAAGTGTGCATGTGGGTGTGAGGTTGTTCCTGGGAAATATGGGACTTCCTGGATATCAGGTATGCTAAAAGCTGGGCCGAATAAATGTTCTGTATGATGATAACGAGATCTCTTCTCAATCTCCCTCTCCCTCCCTCTCCCTCTCCCTCTCCCTCTCTCTCTCTCTCTCTCTCTCTCTCTCTCTCTCTCTCTCTCTCTCTCTCTCTCTCTCCTGTCAACTCTAAAGTGTGTTTCTGAGTCACCTAGTGCTACAAATGGGTCATCACCCACCCCAAGTCCTATATTCTCCACCAGCAAAAGGGGTGGGTAGACTTGGACCAAGGACAGCAGATAATGGCCATAGGCTGGGTGTTCCCAGGATATAGAAATTGGAAGACAGCCTGGAATCTTAAAGTATGCCCAGAAGACCTGGCAAATGTTCCTCTACAGGCACAGGTTTTGGGAGCAGCTAAAATAAGAGTCAATGGGAGGGGGAACCCATGAGGGGACAGCATAGTGGCAGGCAGTTGAGAGTGGCTTCTGGGATATCCCCTGGTGGGGCAAGAACACATGAGATAAGACTCAATTGCCCCTCATGATTTTGTTGTATTTTATGTCTCCCTAGAAGCTTCCATCAGAATGTCACCTGCTTCAGAGCAGTCATGAACTATTTTATTTCTCCTCTAAGTCTCCACAATTGCAATATTCAATCACGGTTTCTTGAGGCGCTCCTATAAAACAATCTGACCAGTCACGATTCTAGCGTTTCCCTTCACAGTGTTGTCATCAGTCTCTGTTGAGAACAGGCTAAGATGTGGCAGTGTCAGGCCTGAGGTCACTCTGAGGTCGACTTTCCTAGGGCTGTTGTAAGGAAACACAAGCCGGGTGATTCATAACACAAACATCCGGTCCCCCAGAGTTGGTGGCTGAGAGTTGGACATCAAGGTGCCTGGCAGGCTCTCGCTCCCTCTTTGGTGTGTGAGGCCCCTCCTGCCTCTCCGTATTTATTGGCCATCTCCACCAAGATCAGATATCCCACAGCTTGCAGCCATATTGCTCCAATTGTCTCTGTCCCACACAGCACTCTAGAACCCATGTGTCCTTTCTTGGGACAGCTCATTAGAATGCAGTCATGTTTGCTTTGGGGCCCCTGCCCCTCCAGCATGGCCTCATCTTAACTGATCGCACACACAAACTACTTTCTAAATGACATTGTGTTGTGAGGTACTGGGGCTTCACTAGAACCTTTTGTATGGTCAAAATTTACCCCAATAACATTAGTTTGTTCAGTATGATGAGGACATAAGGAGGGGAAAGGGATAAATGTCAACTGTGTCCCTTTGTGCTGCCTCGAAGTGTGAGGGACAAGTAAGGGCCTCTACTCCCGACAAGGTCTAGAGAAGTGTGCTGTGGCTGGGGTCCAGGGTACTACCCCACAATGCCACGCTCAAGAAGAGAAACTGTACCTTCCTGTCACTTCCCATGTCATAGGACAAGTAGGGCAGGGACCATGCAGAAAAGGACAAGGCAGCCTTAAATGTTGAGGGACGCTTGGAAACACCACCTGCCCAGCGCTGGGGATCTTAGAAGTCCCCACTGTCTTGGGGAGTTGAGTCTTGGCAGAACTGAAAATATCTCCCCTAGGAGGCTATGGACGGGTCCCTCATCCCTGGGAGACAAGAGCAACCTGATGCTCCCCAAGCCTGAATCTCAGTCCCTCTGCTCCCATCTTTGTTCCCCGACATCTGAGAAGCCCTCAGTCCTGAGGCCACCAGGCTATCAGAAGCCTGGCTGTGTGTTCTCTCATGCTGAGTATTCATTTCCAGGCCTACTGGTTTAAAATCAAGTTATTCCAGAAGGTTGTTAGTGAGATGCTGCCCCTGCTTCATTTACACATCCTGACCTGTCCTTTTAGTAGTTTCTTATGCACCCTTCCAGATCTGCTTTTTAAAATCTGTGTGTGTGTGTGTGTGTGTGTGTGTGTGTGTATCACAGTGCACAAGTGCAGCCCAGCTCTCTCCTTCAACCATAGGGGTCCTGGGGATCAAACTCAAGTCATCAGGCTTTGTAGCAGGCATCTTTGCCCCAGGCTGGTGTCAAACTCATCGTCCTCCTGCCTCAGCTTGCCCAGTGTTCTGTCCATTTCCTCGCTGTAGAGCCATACATAGCAGATGGCCCACACTTCTAAACCTCACCTTTTCCCCTTAACTCATCCTCATTTCTTCCCATGCAGCTTTCTCAGGGTCCTCCATTTGTTGAGACAGTGTCTCATGTAGCCCAGGCTGACTTTGAGCTCACTCACTATATAGCCAAGAATGACATTGCATGCTGGGATTATAGATGTGTATCTCCTGGTCATCAAACCCAGGGCTTTGGACAACCCTCAGCAATCGAGCCACATCTCTAGCTGGGAGATTCCCCATGTGTAGCACCCCATTGTAGGACAGCTGACAGGGAATTTTAAGTCATTTAGTGTCATAGGTAATGCTGGCCTGAGCTCACTGCCATTTTGTGTCTTAACATGTCTGAGTTACCTTTGAAGTAGTCAAAGGACCCAGAATTTAGCTTCTAATACCACGCTAGCAGCTGGCAGGCCCAGATACCAGCTGTCTCTACAAGTAATCCTAGCCTAGCTTCCTACTTCCAACTGACATCTTCCCCAACGCCTCTTCCAGTGTCTCATGGTTGGACCTGAGTGATGATGATGGCCTGTTGGCATCGCAGTAAGATTAAGAAGGAAAATTACCCTTAATGCTTACGTCATCCATAGAAGAAGATGAGAGCCAAGGAGGCTGATGTGTTCAGTTCAGAATGGGGAAGGCTAACTTCTCTGTAAATGGCACTCTATCTTATTTGACTAGCTGGGCCATTTCTTTCTTTGTCTTAAACCTCGAGCTTGCTTTGTGTTGTGAGGTCCATTCCTCCATCTCAAAGGCAGAAGGGAAGGAACTGGGCTGCCTGGTTGTTCTAACATTGTCTGGGTAGTGGCTTAGTAACTAGCAATAAAAAATGGGTAAAACTACGTGTGAGTTATTTTTCTCTCCGCTGCAATCAAATAGCATAGAGGCAGGAGGGTTTATTTGGCTCCCTGTGGGGAAGGCATGGGGGTGGCTTTTATCATTGGTGGTGGGAGCCTGCAGCATGACTTGCTGCTGCCATCTCAGTGCACCAGGAAGCAGAGAGCTTCGGCCCGGATACCCTTTATAAATCACAATCCCCTAGCTCTACCACCCTATATCTGTCAGCAAAGCCCCACATCTAAAAGATTCCAGAACCCTCCAAAGCAGTATCACCAGCTAGGGAAAAAGCATTCAAACTCACTAGCTTGCGGAGTGCAACCAGAATCTCATGTGTGGTGATATTAGGTAAGGACACAGCCCCAGAGAAGAAGTTTCACCACCATCCATAGCTCCTTTGGACCCCAAACATAGATATTGAGCAACCTCTTCATGCCAGGCCCTGCTGGTTTGAGAGATAAGATGAAAGAGTTACATCCTGATGCCTACAGCTCTTTTAGGACGGAGTAGCAGCAAACTGCAGTGTTACTAGGTAAATGTGTCAGCTCGTTCTTGAAACAAAAGAAATCACCCCACAGTCAGGAAGCTGGCAGTTCCTGACTTTCTTGAATCTTCACCATTCTTTCTTTCTTCTTCTTCTTCTTTTTTTTAAACAATGCCTGATGCAGGAAGGAAGTGGGGGCCCGGAAGGGGAGGATGTGCGCTAAGGTGTTGAGCCATCCTGCCCACAATTCTGATGTCTGGCCATGACAACGGCCAGATGGGCTGAGCCTGGTTTCAGTTTTTCAGATCCCTTCTCTAGCCTGTGAGCCAGGTGGCCTCCTCGTTGGACATTCACGTCTTCCCAATGAAGGTAATGAAACCAGGCAGCCACTGGGCAGAGGACGGGAGGGTCAGGACCAGAAGGCATGACTGATGGGTCGCAGTATTCTGCAACATCCTCAGAGGTGGGATCTTCAGACTTGCAGGCCTGAGCTGCTCGTTGCTTTCGTGGCTTTGTACTGATGCTACTCCCACCCTCCACGGCCCCCAGTTTGCATTCGGTGTTATCCTGAGTAACTGAGTTTTGCTTTGAGCTGATTTTTTCTCCGAGTGCGTCTGTAACAAACCACACCAGCCTGCAGGCAGAGCGGGAGGGGAAGGAGCCTGCCGTTTCTCAGACAATGCTCTGGTCTGTGGTCACAGCTGGTGCTGGCAGGGACACTGTAGAAATGAAGGTGCTGAAACAGCTTGCTGAGGTCTCCTGCTTCAGATGAAGGAAAAATTTAAAAGTACTTGTGGTGGGTTGAAAAGGACAACAGACTCCTGGTGGGGTCCAGACAAACGGCATTTCTAGTGACTGTCTCTGTGCTGATCTCCATGTGGTAACTCGAGATGTGTCCTGTACCCTTCCTGTCCTGAAGGAACTAGTGATGGGAAGGGAACCAAAATACATAGCTTACTCAACCCTTTCCAGCTTTGCTCCTTAGAGAAATTAGCTGTAGTCCTAATGAGGTCAGTGCTGCCCCCTAGAGGACAGAGTCTAAGTTGTCAGAGAAATTATACCCGAAGCCATAATTTTGCTAGAAGTATAAATGGCATACGGGTAAAGTCTTGAGGTGGTGTGGATCCTTTCCCCTTTCATGCAATCTGTCTATCTGTCTATATTAGAGCATTTCCAAACACTCAGTGAACTGCAAGGCCTCAGTGTAGCGTGCACTTCCTGTGAAAGCAGGAAGTCACCCATTGGTTTCAGCATTGGGGTGGAGGTGCTTCGGAAGTTGTTAGGGTCAGAGTTTGGGCTCTTGCAGTGACACAGCTTGTCCACGTGTCCCCCTATAAGACAACAAAGAGACAAATGAGGAGAAAACTCAGTGGAATAAGTGTTTGAGAGCCTGAGTTTAATCCCCAGTATTCACAGAGGAAAGCTGGGTGGGGTAGCAGCTGCGTGTAATCCCGGGGAGATAAAGACTAGCAGATCCTGGGGAGGGGAGCTCACCCGGCAGCCAGCCTATCCTAGTCAG